GAAAACAGTCCGTTTATCAAATTATTGTCATGATGCATGGCTGGCTAGCTACAGCTATCAAAATCCTCCACTCTGCTGCTCTATCAGGAGGTGAGGTGAGGTGTGGGGCGGTACATTTCCAGGACTGGTAATGACTTAAGGGGGTCAGAAGGATATCAGGAGCTGGCATGATAAGTGATGACACCCTCATGGGAACAAGCTTAATGACTTTCCCTGAGCAGGGAAGTGGCTGGTTTGGCCAGGCAATTTTACCGCAGTGAAACAGAGAGGGCCAGGTCATTCTGTCTGTTCGAACCACTAGAGCCTCTTTTTTTTTTGGTATTCTCAAATCTTTCTGCCTTGCAGTGAAAGTGAATCACCATGATGCAGTGAAGCAAAGTTTCCTACAGTCTGTAAAACCAAATAAAGCAAGAACACATGTACACATGCACACACATGCATGCTGCACTTTTATTATTTGAGGTAATGCAGTGTTGTGTGTTGTAATAAAATGTTTCATGATTCGCTGTATGGACACAAATATTGATTCTTAGGTTTTTTTTTTCCAATCTGAATTGGTTTTCAACAATTACGCAAATATTTGATATCAATTTATAATATTAGCCTTACCTTAGTCATATATTTTATTATATATGTGCAAATTAATACATTTCGTTTTTTTCTGTTAAGAATTGAATGTAGATGTGCTTCATTTAAAGTCTACAATTTATGAGACAAGAAAAAATTGACGAAGACCCATGTCCAATATTAAAGCACACAGAGCAATATTGATAAACCATTTCTTTCCTTTCTTTTACACAGATAAGTCATTTCCAGTGTACCACTCGACTAATTTGCCACCAAAAGCAGGCTAATATCCAAAAAATGTTGACTTGCAGGGGGATCAAACATCTGCTCCTTTGAGGCTCTTTAGTTAAGACGGGCGGAGCGCAAGAGGGGAAACTGAGGGTGAGGGTGGGTGGTGGTTGGGGATTTAAAAGGATCCCATTACTGAGGTAAACAACCCAAATGCCATGACAACTCCCTGAACGCCAGACAAACACAAATGCCACAGAAATGCCGAGAGCAGAACTTTATTTGAACTGTTATATTCTTATTCTATATTAGTGATTATGCTCCTCTTTTGGATGTTTTCACGTTGATGAGGAGTTTGGGCAGTCATGTTTACCAGTTGCTCAGCAGCTTACGTCTAACTGAGGGTCCCGTTTCAAAGAGTCAGCACAACAGAGGTTGCTTCCATGTGTGCATGGATGTTTTCAATACTAAGCATTTCTCACCACCAAGTGACCTGCCCACAACCCACCTGGGCATTTAGCAGTTGGCAAATACAAATACACAGGGAATAAAGTAGAGACAGAGACGCGCTTAAAAGACATGTCACACATCCTACCAGATGCCTGAAGGTCAACGGAAATGACATGCTGAGCTGTCAGTCAGCTGCCTATCAACATGTGTGTGAGCGTGTGCGTGGCAGAGAAGCGGAGCCACAGATAGCATTTAATTGAAGGTTGAAGTTATCAGATAGCCTGCGACTCAGCTGTCAGTCAAGATGCAGTCACCACGATGACGCTTTGTAGTGTTCTGCACCGCTGACGACATCAGGAAATGGCTGACTTTGAAGAACAGTGAGGGGGCGGGTAGACTGACACACAGGCAGACAGAACGATAGAGACACAGGCACACACATAAACACATTTACAGACAGATGTGGGGCACACAGGCAAGTACACACAGGCCAGAACAGGGACACACTTAAGGGAATTAGTATAGAAGCGTGCTGGCAAGGCAAGTTATTTTGGTAGAACTGACATGCTGCACTGCATCCAGGCACCAGGACAATCTAATTATCTACTGGTGAAACCTGAGCAGGGGACACGTAGGTGATCTGACAGAGAAAACCCTACTGAGTGAACGTGACCTCAACCTGAAGACATTGTAAAGAAAAGTGGGAAACCAGTTTTTAAATGAAGGTGAAAACTGAGAGGAAGGAATGTAAGTGACAAGTGTTCAAAAGATAAGACAACAGTACAAACAACAAATATCTTCCACAGTAGGTGAGTTGATGCCAAGAACAAAAAAACTACAGATTTGTACCATCATTCCCTGCTTTCTTGAGAGAACCTAAAATTGCGTCAGCGCGACAAACACACACATGCATTTTCAAAGAGAGGAATCTGGGAAATCAGGCGGAAATGTGAGGGGGGATAATATTCCCCAGTCTAATAATCTTCATTACTGTTTCCTCTCCTTTAGCAGTGGACAGATGAGTATAGGAAGTGGCATTTTCTCCCACTCCTTCAAGATTTCTTTCCTCTCTCCCCTTTTCTGCATTAGCCCAATACTAAAGAGTTGTATTTCCCCCTAGGTGTCTTTAGACAATTGTTAAGTTGCAGAGTGCGCTATAGAAGGCTGATGAACATACAGCAACTTCTTATCTGCCAGTATCTGCTGTTCAAATAATGAAAAAGATTGATGTTGGCACCTCCACAAACAGGTTTTAGTACACCAGCTTAGCAGTTTTTTCACACAAACCCAGTTCCCAACAGGTACATTTTCTGTGAACAGGAAAACTAGGACTAAAGAATTTTATTTCATTTAGACCTTGTGCTGATTTCCCCAGGTTCCTATCATTACTTCTATATATAACAAAGCTATCTGGCATTTTTCTTCCTTCCCTACAGACTTAATGTAGTGCATCAAGGTACCAGGACAATGTGTGTAAAAAAAAATTCCCACTTGAAATACATGGCATTTTTGTGTTATCGCATTTCTGTGTTCGCCTGTGCTTGTGCATCTTTACGTACATGTTAAGGTGTGTGTGTTCATTTGTATCTACTAAGGTCATCAGTGAGTCATCTTGGCCACCAGGGGGAAGCCAAATTAATTTAGTGGCCATCCTGACAGCTCGTAAACACAATACAGAGTTACAGCCTTGCTCTGTGCAAAGCAGCATAGCACAGCGAGCAAAGGGAACACAAGGGTCATCTGAGGATGCCACACTTTGAACAGTTTGTGTGTATCTGTGTGAATGAGAGAGGCATTCCTTTAGTGTCTTTGTAGTTACAGGTGGTACCCACTGTTCCACACATTTTCACAGACCTTCTTCACTCTTCTAAAAAATCTTAGACACCCATTTACAGGGATAGCACATGACATACAAGACACACACACACACACACACACATACAAAATACAGTGACTTCAGCAGTAATGAAAAGCACGCTGTAAGTCTTTAAATAGCATGTTCTACATAGAAGAGAACTTCAGTAAGACGACCACAGTATCGGATATGCCCCTTAAGTCAACTGCATGTTCACTAACTAAATGACAAACCTCAGTTCTACCACATATACAGTTTCCAAAGATGTTTACATGTACACTTTTTACGACTCTGATACTGTACAGTGTTTTAAAGATAAAGTGTGTTTATGATGTTAAAATGTACTGGTGCACAGGTTAAACAAAATTTTGTGACGATATACTATATCAGTCATGATAATTACTGATATTTCTACCAACAAAAATAAGGTAATGGAGGGAAAAAAAGCAGTGAGCAGGCAAAAGTAGGACCAAGTGTGGACACATTATTATTATATTACATTGCATAATTGGGAGACAGTGACTAAAGATGAATGAGAAGATGTGGTTGGTTGATTTAGCTTGAGCTCAGATGCTGGGTCTGGTCTGAGGGTCAGCAGAGAGCTAAGCTGATCCCCGCCAGTCCCTGGTGCCCTTTATCAATGCTGTCAGGGGGAAAATGCAATTCATGCCTGACTGGGCCTTGCCCTGCTCTACGGTGTCTGTTATCCTTCGTCACCTCCCTCCATTCATTTCCTCACTGCAAGCTGCTGGGATTATGAAGAGAAACGCTGCTCCTCAAGACATGACACAACCATTCACATGTGAGCCAAAGATTACCATAAGGCCAGGAATGTGGCTGATGGACTGTGGTCAAAGCCTGATACACACATCACAAGAGTCGCATAGCAGACACATACACACAAATACACCTGTCCTACACCAGACAAGGGTTTTACCTTGACTGTGCCCCCCCTCATTTCCATAACTACAATGATACCTCCAACATGTTCTATTCTTTCCCAGCTGTGTGTGTGCATTTAAGGTGTATGGATTTCCATCTGAGAAAAGTCATCTATACCACTGCTGTAACTAAAGCCAGTGAAGTCCAAAAGATTTCCATCTCTTTCAGGTGATTATTTATGAAGTTGCAGTTTAGTTTTCATGATGTTGCTCCTTTTAATTCCCTCCTACTTTCCCTCAGAAGACTAATCTACAGCAGAGTTGGCCCATAAACACCCCAAGCATGATGGGTACTCCTGAGACCAGGACAAAATTAGACTGCTACTTGATATAGCTTTTTAACAGTAGTACATTAACAACTTGGTGCACATGTTAAGAGTCTAACAACTACTGCTTAACAAAATAATAAAACAGCCAAGAGTTGTGTACGTACAAAGCGAGAATGTAAAAATGAGTGGAGTATGTGACGAGCAAGTATGTACAACAGAGATGAGTTGTCTTCTCAGTGATGACAGATTGCCAAACTATCAGCAGCTGTCATTTCAGTGATGACACATCACAAAGTCATATGGCCTAAGGCAAAAGGACCAACTGAGTGTATAGCTTTGTCTCTGCATATGCGTGTATATTTGTATGTATGTGTTTTTGTCAACATGATCTTGTGTCTTTTACAGCTGCTCATTTGTCCAAAAATAAGAAAATTTTTTAGAAAAAAAAAAAAACTATTCAACACAATCCTCAAACGGAAAAAGACAATGCAAACAGCGTAATAATGACACACAAGTGATTATTTGGAAGCTTACAATCATTTATTATAGTGTTAATCACCAATTAATACTTCCGCAGTTAGTTAAACAATTAAGGCAAATGCCCCAACATTACTGGCAACATGATATATATATATATATATATATATATATAACATGCTATAGTGAGAGATGTGTAACTCAGCTACTTACATCTGGGTACTCTTTGACAGGCACAAACAGTTTTTCCTGCAGGTGAACGATGGGTCCCATAGGTTCAGGCAGCTCCAGCGGGTGTCTGTCCACAAGGCCATTCACTGTGTCACTGTACATGTCTTTCCGCACTCTGTTGATCTCTGAAACACACAAAAATATGTAAACTGTGGTTAGCAACTACATAGCAAGAGGTCAGTGACTTTTTTTTTTTTTTTTTGTATTACAGAAATGTCATAATGTCATTTTGACTTATGGGCTTGGCGCAGCATCTAAATCTTTGGGGAAAAATACAGAAAACACAACTTAAATTAGTTAATTGCCTTGGGTATTTTTTAAATTTATTTTATTTTATTTTATTTTATTTTTTTACAGATAAACACTTGTGTAACTTTGTTTTTGGAGAATACTAACACACTATATTATCACAGATTGCAAGTGTGAGAATGTATGAGCATGGATTCTTCCGAATACCTACAAAAAATAGCAATTTTTCAGAACAAGCTGTGCTGACTAAAAACAGTGATTCTGTGTTTGTGTATGTGTTTGTGTTCTATATGCCAGAGACAAAAGTTAAGCGCTACATTATTTACGGGTTAAGGCCACTGTCTTTCCTTTCTCCCTCCCCAGTGGCTGTTTTCTAACTGAGCAGCCTGTGGAAGCGGCTGAGCATGAGACCAGATGCAGAGAATCGCTCAGGCTTAGGTATATGCCGCCTTCAGATCTGATCCCTCTGTCAGATAAAACTAATGGACCTCTCTCACACTCACACACATGCTGCCAACAAAGATTTCTGCCAAAACTCTTTCATACACACATGCTCACCTCTAATTCACGCATACCCCCGTTTTTTGTTTTTACAGCATGTGAAGGTCTCATTTTTTTCCCCACACCAAAGGAATGCTTTACTGCGCAGGTTGAGAAAAAAACATTCATTCATGCTACCCAACCTGTGTGTCCATGCGTGTGAGTATGCCACATATGGATGAGGACCGACGGCTGCAGTTGTAACACTCATTAATAGAGGACACACTCGGGTCACACTTTTGCTTCCCACGTCGCCATCACTGTACAGTCATAGCATCACTCAATCAAAAAGGGCCAGAGAAATGACATCCAAAAAAGAGGCATTTACTTAGATAAGTTCATAGGTTTGAAACAGCTGGGACATAATGGTAGGGCTGGGGAGGCCTTGAGAAATGTAGAAATGTAGTGTGTGTGTGTGCATGTGTGTGTGCGTGTGCGTGTGCGTGTGTGTGTGCGTGTGTGTGTGTGTGTGTGTGTGTGTGCGTGCGTGTAGGTGGGTGCTAAGCACTATTTCCATCTCCCATGTGACTTTCTGGCAGTAGGGAGCTCTATATTAAACTGTGGCTGGGGAACCTGACACTCGACTATAGATGTCCTTAGTAAAGCATGCCTGACCTCCAAACCCTAACCTTACACTGATGCAAAATTGCAAGGTGGATCAGACGTGCATAATGACGTTGCAGTGTAATTTTGTAGTCTCCTTCTTTGCAATGTATAACAATTTTACAAAAGAAAAAAACCCTGATGACAATAATCTTGAACTCATGGATTTGGCTGTGGAATCAGTTCCTGCAAAACTAATAATGTGTCTTCTCTGGATACGGCTGACGACTGAATTATTGTATCACTTATGAGGCCATAGACACCGGAAAAAAAAAACAACAAAAAAAAAAACATCTATGTGCAGCTGCGTGGACAACACCTGCAGAAGACATTGAAGCTGTGCAAACTAGCCAGGAGACTTGGTCCGTGGCAACTCCTTCCTAAACCATATGACCTCAGCTCTCTGCTCCACAGATACTCCCAGTCCTTCCCAAAGATGAATTCATCCTTATGGTATCTAGCCCAGAGAACAGATTACATCAGTCCTAACCAATACAGCCGCCAGGCCACATCTTGGCTTTGTCTTTGAACGGATGGGCTTGGCAGTGACACATTATACAGGGAGGAGATCAAGACAGCCTAATACAGGGAGTATGTGGAATACTGGAAATTGAAAATGAATGTGTGTTTGGTGAGTTAGTACCATCAAGTTAGCAAAACTGGACCAAGTTGACCTACTGATATATTACAAGTTAATAAATGTATTACTATAACTCCTGGTATGCAAATCCTTCTCCAGCAAGACAGCTTGTTGTTGGACTTTAATGAAAAACAACCACCACCAAATTAAATGCTGTAAAATATAATTTAACCACTTACTGTAAATCTTACATGCATCATTTATCTCCTTAAGTCAACATTAATAAATAAAAAATAGCTATTAGGACACCCCCGCTGGGTTAAAAATGTATGTAGGATCCATCAATGATACTTGCAAAGAACAAATTTTCTGTAGGTTAGGAAATCACTCCGTCACACACACAAAGCGTACAGAAAAAGCAGATATACTGTATACTATATACTTGGTGCAATGCATTTAAGAACATTTGTCCTTCAGATAACAAGAGAAAACAAAGAGGTATTCACATGTGACAATGCAACCCAACAACCAGCAGCACCCCTCCTCCTTCTAATTCTATTTCCTCTTGCTGAAATGCCACATTAACATAAGGGGGCCGCGCTGGGCCATCAATGGAGACGTGCGGCATTTGACAACCTCTAATTTCAATGCGGCAACACTTTTCTAAAGCGTTGCGCTCACCTAAAAATTACCCCCTGCCTTGCACTGCCGACAAAATCGTTTGTCTAGCTGTCCACCCCGGCAGAAAAGGCTGATTTTGTAAGAAAGTGTGTGCGCGCGTCTGTGTGTGAGAATCACTATCTTAGGTGGGGGTGGGATGGTGTCAGTATCTGAAAAGAACAGACAAAACGGGGGGGGGGGCAGGACAATCAACTAGAGTAAGAGAAGGGCAGGCCATCGAATGAGTGAACTGTGGCATTAGATGGGGAAAAACCATCTAATGCAACAGTTTCCAAGCAGTAACCCCTGCTACCTTGTTCAGCCATCTCTCAGCTCAGTGCTAGTGTGTCATCCATTGCCTGACTCAGCAAACCACACAGACTGCTTTCTGTCAGAGCTGTCTATTTACCTGTGAGGGGGGAGATTGGTGTACATGCATGCACAGCCACACACACAGCCACACACACAGACACACACACAGAGACACACACACAGACACACTCAGAAGGAGATTTTAATGTTTCTATTTAGTTTTTATACCCAGACATCTGCCAGGAAGAAACTAAAATCGACCTTGAGACTAGTTGGAGGGCACGCTGGAAGGTTTGATTAGACAAAGACAGAGGAAAGAGAGAGAATTATAACCACAGTGCTGAGCAAGCAGAGTGCAGCTGTAGTCCTCTTGACTCACACTGCTCTTTTCTGTCTCGATGTAAGTTAAAATACATTTCATTTTATCATTCTCTTTTTTGTTTCTCTCAATTTCTGCCCTTTCTTCTCAAATCTGCGATTGAAAAAAGAAAATGTCACAGACTGTGGCTGCATATCTACCTATCTTTTGTCAAGTAAAGAGACAATTTCTGCTCATCTTCTCTGTGATCTCGGCAATAGGGAAAGATGAGTACCCTAAAGAAAGGATGTGGGAGACGAGAATGGCAGGTGGAGGCCTTTAAGAGGCAGCGGACTGAGGAATATAGGGAGGAAGTGTCTGTGGGATGGGAGCTGAAAATCAAACTGCGGTCTGGTGGGTGGATATTAAGTGCAAAAGTTTGTTCTTGAACTTTAAAAACACAGTTTGAAAAAAAAGAAAAAACTAAAATCAAGGTCTTTTTACTAGGTTTGTTTAAATCTTTCACTTCTCACAGACTACCTTCAGCGGCGGGTTTCAGCTCAGTTGTCATCATGTGTTCTAAGTATTATACTTAGGTACTGCAATATCCAAGCACCTGTTATCAAACATTTTAGACACCATGATAACAGCTGCGTTATCTGCAAGACAACGGTTTAAACTTGATCTGCTGATAAAGACAGAGATGCTGATGAAAGCTCAGGTAAAAACAAGTAGGTAAATCATAAGTAAAGTTTTAGGTCAAATATTAGAATATACCTGAATATCAGTGCCATGATAATAGGACAGATATAACCATGCATATGAGAACTTTACCATCCCTATGATAAAAACCAAGACCTAAATTATAAGCAATGTACAGCCTCTGGAATAATGATTTAATGAAAATGCTGATAAATTAAGTGTAGCTAAATTCATAATATTACCAAAAAAATATATTTACGAACAAGCAACATGTAATCTGTCAACACCCCATAACAAAGTTTAAAAGCAACATGCTGAACAAAAACATACAAACAGCAGTGTGGGGCATTTTTTGCCCTTAGAGAAACCAGTGATAGGGCACAACAGGGGCTAGGCGTAAGGGTCATGTGCACAGTGGTAAGAGAAACAAACAAACAAACCAAAAAATGATAGTAGGGAACAAGGAAAAACAAATTGATTCAGTGTATCAACAAATCTGAGTGTGTCATATTGCCAGGCAATCCCAGACAGCCGCTGTGAGCTCACCAACATGGGATAGGGGAGGATTTTATGTTTTTACCCAGCCAGATGCCACAAACATGACTGCCTAGAAGGAGTACTAGCAGAACCAAGGAAAACAGTTCAGAAGAGCTTGGGATGAGGAGAAGAAAGGCTTAAATGAAAAGAAAAGCTATAAGAGGTATGTTTCTAATGTTGAAGCCCTGTCTGGTCTAATGACTGTAAACACAGCATGAAGACAAACTTGGTAAATGGACTGGAGGGGAGGAGAGATCAAAGCTGAAGTAAAGAGACAGAAAGATAGAGAGAGAGAGTGTGGAGTAAAATTAAAAACAATGGAGAGGTCCACAAGGAGATGCTGTAATCAGGTTTAAGACAGGTGAACATCATTCAACTAGACCTGCTCCATAAGAGAATGGGAGCAAGTCCATTAAGAGCCCAAAAATAGACATGCTCCATAACTGCTTTGTCCTCACCCTGTAGCTCACAGCAAAATGTCCTCTGACCATGCAGAGCACATCTGTCCATATAAGTATTGTGTGTGTGTGTGTGTGTGTGTTTGTGTGAGAGAGAGAGAGAGAGAGAGAGAAAGAGAGAGAGAGAGAGAGAAGGACAGAGAGGGAGAGCAAAAGAAATGTAATGGGTGAGTAATCAGTGTGATC